TCAGAAACCAGAAAGTGTCTCCCCCCAAAATAGCTTAATCCTGTTTATGTTAAAAATATAGAATTCAGGGGGCGCCTGGGTGGCTCAGTTGGTTAGGCGACTGCCTTTGGCTCAGGTCATGATCCTGGAGTCCCGGGATTGAGTCCCACATTGGGCTCCCTGCTCGGCGGAGAGTCTGCTTCTCCCTCTGACCCTCTTCCCTCTCGTGCTCTCTCTCATTCTCTCTCAAATAAATAAATAAAATCTTTAAAAAATAAAAAAAAATAAAAAAAATAAAATAAAAACAAAGGTAAATAGGCCCTTCCACAACCTCTAAGAAACCTGGGTTTGGGCAAGACATCTCACAGTAAGGTGGTTTTTACTTCTGCTTTTTATTTTTATTTTTTTTTAAGATTTTATTTATTTGAGAGAGAGAGAGAGAGAAAGCGCGCAAGCAAGCACGAGCAGAGGGAGAGGGAGAAGCAGACTCCCCACTGAGCAGGGAGCCCAATGCAGGGGTCCATCCCAGGACCCCAGATCAAGACCTGGGCCAAAGGCAGACGCTCAACCAACTGACCCACCCAGGTGTCCCTACTTAAAGGGTCCCTCCTTCAGGAGGGATACAAATGCAGATGAAACCACATAGATTCTTAGATCAATGTCTCCCTTTTTTACAGGGTTTAACCACTGCTCTTACTAAGGTCCCTTTAGATGAAATGACAGAAAAGGGAACAGCCTGGAGCACCTGGCTGGCTCAGTCCATACAGCATGCAACTCTTGACCTCAGGGTCCTAAGTTCCGGAGCCCCACGTTGGGCATGGACCCTACTTCAGAAAAAATTTATATATATATTTTTTTTGGTATATTTTATATATATATATACATATATATATGTATATATATATATAGGACAGAGAGAGACATAGCGAGAGAGGGAACACAAGCACGGGGAGTGGGAGAGGGAGAAGCAGACTCCCCGCTGAGCAGGGAGCCCGATGTGGGGCTCAATCCCAGGACCCTGGGATCACAACCTGAGCTGAAGGCAGACGCTCAACAACTGAGCCACCCAGGCGCCCCAAAAGATATTTTTTTTAATTAAAAAAAAAAAAAGAAAAAGAGAACAGCCTATCTGTATTAGGGAAAGTATTTTATCTAGAAGCAGGATAGAAGACATTATTCTCCTTAAATTACTACAATACAGCTAAATTCTATAGCACACAGGTTTGGTCTAGGCCCTGGCAGGTACATTCAAGAGGCATAAAAGCAGAACAATATTTACATATACACTAGGCCTCAAACTGAGAAGCCATTAAATTGACAAAAGAAGTTGAGTTCTAAAAACATATTAAATCAGCATGAGTCATATCCTTTTAAAAAATATTTCTTGGAGCGCCTGGGTGGCTCAGTCAGTTAAGCGACCAACTCTTGGTTTCAGCTCAGGTCATGATCTCAGGGTTGTGAGATTGAGCCCTGCACCGGGCTCCACGCTCAGTAGAGTCTGCTGGAGATTCTCTCTCCCTTTGCCCCTCCCCCTGCTCACACTCTTTACCTCTCTCTAAAATAAAATCTGAAAAAAAAAATTTTTAAATATATTCTTTGCTTTTTTTTCTCCAGTTGTAAGAATATACGTTCAATTTTGAAATCTGGAAGAATTTAAATTTGCCACTATCCATATACCAAGTTACAGTGCATAATTTCCTTTCACTCTCCATTTTATACACTTGCCACATCTTCCACAAAATGACAGACAAAATATACTGTCTTCTATTACTCCATGAGCATTTTCATGCATCTCTAGTCTTCAAAGCATGATTCATGGCTGCATTGTCTACCATATGCTTATAATAGAATATAACCGATCTCCTACTGCTATATATTTAGGTGGTTTCTAATTTTTTGCTAGTTAGCATTGGGAGCCGCTTTTATAGAGGACTGTGTGTATGATTATGTCAAATTCTCAGAATGAGGGACGCCTGTGTGGCTCAGAGGGTTAAGCGTCTGCCTTCGGTTCAGGTCATGATCCCAGGGTCCTGGGGTCAAGCCCCGTGGAGCCCCAGATGGAGCCTCACATCAGGCTCCCTGCTCAGAGGGGAGTGAGTCTGCTTCTCCCTCTCCCTTTGCCACTCCCCCTGCTCCTGTTCTCTCAGGCTCTGTCAAATAAAATATTAAAAAAAAAATTCTCAAAACAAAATCAGCAGATTAAGTATGATCATTAAAACCTTGTATGCAGGGGCGCCTGGGTGGTTCAGTCGTTGGGCATCTGCCTTCGGCTCAGGTCATGATCCCAGGGTCCTGGGATCAAGCCCCACATCGGGCTCCCTGCTCCACAGGAGGCCTGCTTCTCCCTCTCCCACTCCCCCTGCTTGGGTTCCCTCTCTCACTGTGTCTCTATCAAATAAATAAAATCTTTACAAAAAAGCCTTTTATGCATTCTCAAGTTGCTTTCTAGAGCCATTATACCTATTTATTTATATTCTAACAACACTGTAAAAGAGAAAGTTTAGGTCACTACATTATTGACAATGCAGAGTTGAATAAACTTTGTTAAACTGAAGGGTCAAAATTCTTGTTTTAAATTTTATTTTCTCTGACGAGTAGCAACAAATACTCTTCCAATCTACTGATCATTTGTATTTTGTGTAAAGGGCACTTGTTTGTATTCTTTGCCCCATATTTTCTACTTGGGGGCTGAAGTGCATATTTTGTCCCAAATTGAAAAAATAATCCTGACGAGACACATTTAACATGTGCCAAAGTTTACCGGCTTAAAAAAAAAAAAGGAAAATGAAACCTATCTGAGAACCATATACATCTAAATAACTAAATGTGAAAGAGGTACCCAAATTAGTCTTTGAGCAAAAAAAAGACGAGTTTATCTTTCTTGTCCCTTCGCCCATCCCATGTTGTCTTTTTTTTTTAATCTCAGAATAAAACTTATTTTTTTAAAGGTTTTATTTGAGAGAGAGGGCATGAGAGAGAAAGAGAGAGAGAAAGCAGAGGGGAGGGGCAGAGGGAGAGGGAGAAGAAGACTCCCCACTGAGCAGGGACCATGATGTGGGACTCTGTCCCAGCACCCTGGGATCATGACCTGGGCTGAAGGCAGACGCTTAACCAACTGAGCCACCCAGGTGCCCCAAGAATAAAATTTATTTTAAAAAAGATTTCCATCCTGTCTTAGATTTGTCTATATTCACTTCGTGTTGTCTTATTTCAACATGGAAATCTGACCAAATCAAGCCTGCATACTAATTTAATGGCTTTCCTTTAAGCAGAAACTTAGAATGGAAGTTGGGGGACTTTTAATAATAAACCCATTAGGCTTAGGCTCAAACCTTAAGGGGATGGTGGTTTACAAAGCCAAGAGGATTCCACCATGAGCTTCAGAAACCAGAAAGTGTCTCCCCCCAAAATAGCTTAATCCTGTTTATGTTAAAAATATAGAATTCAGGGGGCGCCTGGGTGGCTCAGTTGGTTA